CTCATTCAGTTTGACCAAAGCGTCAACTACAACGACGCGTTAGCAGTTTTTAGAAGTGTTGCTCCTCCAACCCTAAAATTAAACTATCAGTGTCATCAGGTGCGCCCAGACCCCTAGAAGAGAGAGAACAAGGTCTATGGATCAGCCTTCTTAGACAGTCAGGGTTTGATGTTTCTGTGTCAACTGTGGAGAGGTTATTGAGACAACCTCTAGAATTGATGAGTCCAGATGGCCTCCAACTACTGGACCCGATTCCATAATGGAAGGACAAATTAGGAACCCGACCATTAGTGAACTGCAAACATTCTTTGATGCTTTGATACTTGGGCCCATGGTTCAATTGCTGGGGTTGCTCGGTATTCAATTCGATGGTCTTAAAGACCAAGCGTCGTGAGTCTGCTTCAGTTTTAATATTTTAGCTATTTTTTATTTTTCAGGGTGCAAGGGTCTCGGAATTGTCCAGATTTGCCAATGCATTCAGAAATGTCTAAATTTCCACATTCCCCACCATGGAAATAACATCAAGTACTTTAAAGAAAAGTGTACAAGTACTTGAAGTTTGTTCTTATTGCATGCGTCTCCATCTCTCTACGTCGCATGTGTCTCCATCACATACACCAGTCGTTGTTTCTTTCCGGTCATCTTATTTTATTAGATGCTGGTATGGTGGAGGCACAGGGGGAAGCACGGCTTGATCACTATCTCCAACATGAGTTTCTGTGCTGCATCGTATCAGCAAAATGGGTTTCCTTCAAACTCTGTCACCCTGGAAACAACACGAGTCGTCCTCCGATTGAGTTTTATGGCTTCAATCCAGCAAATTTTAATGGACGCAGAAGGCATTGTTCTGTCATCGTCAATTGTGCCGCTTTATGTTACACCGTATGATCCCTGCAGCCTATCGATACACTGGACGGGATTTGGGACCTCTTTCGTACAAGCGCATCGTTTTGAGGGGGCAGCGCATTTTTAAAGTGACAAAGTCGAATTTTCAAGCTGTTGCAGAGGCTTATCAAATTTCTAGGGAGAATCCTGATGTCTTTCTTCAGCGGGTAGGAGATTTGCGCCAGTGGACTCACGAACAAGTACAGCAGTTCTACCAACCAGCATCTATGGAACCCCCTCCCGGCAATTATGTGGTCGTTGATATGGACCACATTCAATTCGTTGGCTCATTAATGCACTTGAAGCGATGCAGGCAGCAAAGGACATCGCGAATTGCATTCACCATCTGCATGAGTGCGGATTGTTACATATGGACATCCACTAGGCAAACGTGCGCAAAAAAAGACTTGAGGATCAATCCTTCCGCTTCATTCTTATTGATTTTGTGTTCTGTCAAAAATCCCAGGGAGTTCAAGGCCTTCGATACATTGATTGGGAATATCGAACTTTTGTCGATGAGATGTACATTCAACAGTCAGAGATGTTCCAATTTGGTAAAATGATCTCGAAAGTTTGCAATCTGTTTTTTCTCAGTCCAGTTGAGGCTGAAGGAACATTTAATCGGTTGTTGATTTTTTCGATTTTGTGGTTCGAGAAAGGCCTTAAGACTCTCCCACTGCAGTGTTTCAAAGAGCGTCAGAGATTTTGGATTCAAGACTAGATTGATTTTTCATGGCATACATGCTTGTTCTTCATCGCCTTTAAGAGGATAAAATCAACTTAGAAATGAAGAATTGAATTTGAGCAACAACGAACTATATTGAATACTAGTTAGTTGCATCCAAAAAACTTGAAGTACGCTCAGATTCTGTAGAAGCCTTTGCTTATCATCTTGATTTTTGCAAGCTGGCACCACCCAGCGACGAATCGCTCGGTAACATACATGACCAAAATGGGGCTGAGCCATGTTCTCAGCCGTCCCAACACCTCCACTCAATTAGTTGTTGAATTGATTGATTCCTATGGTAAAACAACCTTTCTGTGCCAGAAAGGTGTTATGGCCATGAGACACATGGGATTGTGGACTGAATCTCTCATTGAATCGCAGAAGATCTTCGTTCCTGTCTGCAACTTGACGGACTTGATTTCTTCAAGCAACTGACGGATCCACACTAGCACTGAACTGCAGTCAGCCAAGGTTACATACTGAGGATTTTGCTGTTGTTGCCTGTTTCTTTGTGCGCCATTTCCGCCGACTTTGACACAGTAGCTTCATCTTCTGGTACTCCATTCCAACTTGCATCGGCGTATGCTTCAATATTGCACTGACTTCCAGATGAGTACTTCAGTCCATATGACCTTGGTGCTTTCAAATACTGGAAATCTCTTTCACGGCGGACCAATGCACTTGATTGAAACCATTGCAGTATTGAGCCAGTTTGTTGGTCGCAAAACAGATATCGAGACGTGTGGTCACTGTATACTGGCGTGCATCAGCATGGAGGTGAAAAGATTTAGATGACGGTTTGGTTTGTGTTCAGGGCCATCCGTTGCGTACACAGGAAGGACAGCTTTTTCTGATTTATAGATCCTTACCGCGCAGAGCGCGTTGCAAAGGAAGAGATACGACGACTCGATTCCAAGCAATTGCGAAAGACTTCAGCCCATGGAAAATAATGAAGAATGGCGAGACTGCTGCTCATCATCAGAGCACTTTTTTTTAGATAATTTTTCCATAGCAAGTTCTTCGTTCATGTATTCAGTGCGAATAGATTCTCGTAACCTGTTAACAGCTCCTGCCGCACTTCTATCATCACGATTGTTTTCTTGTAGAACGTATTCAAACGTGCTCGTTCTGTTTTTGATCTCAAATCTCAGAGGCACGTGCCAACAATATCTCCTCTTCTTACTCCCTCTAAAACCCATTTTTCTGGCTTTTTCAACTTAGAGTGCCGATCGCTAACCGTCTTCAAAATGTTGATCACCTTGAAGAGCGTTGATCTGAGGGTGTTATACAGCTTCATACGTGATCACGAGAAAGAAAGAAAGAAGCACGAGGGAATACTCTGTTGGAAACTAAAACTCGCCATGTGTGTGCCGCAAGTTAGTATATCAGGGATCCTGGAGACTAGATGCCAGAAACCAGAGGATTGGAGTACTTGACTTTGCTGAAGTTATATTAACAATGCAGAGCGGCTATTTGTTTCAAAATGCCAAACGAAGCGAGCTGAGTGAGCGAGTCAGACTCTATTGAGGTTCAGTTTTCACTTCCAGCTTCTCGAAGTAAAGAAATTAAGAAAGTCGGGTCGTCCTCTTGGCATACACCGCATGTCAAGTGCATATCAGGCGCATGGATCAGGCTCATTCCACTGAGCAATTCAAAGATGTCCAAGCTTCCGTATTTCCAAGCAGCCGTGCTGCCACTATTCCCTCAAAGAGTCAGTGGCTCTTTGAGCTGCTGTGCCGACTCTAATTCTTCTTCTTCAGACAACGCTCCCAGCAACAAGACCCACTCCAAAAGCAAGACAAGTTACAGAAGCAAGACCCCTTCGGAAGGCAAGACTTCTTCCTCTTCGAAAGGCGAGGCCGACAATGAGGTCTGTGGATAAAAGAGCGCCCAATGACAAAAAATGAGTCCCAATAATTAATTCGATCTATAAATCCATTTAAATCCATGCAATTGCAGTTCAGTCACCAAAATTTCCAAAAGAATGGATTTTGAGATCATTCGGTGTCTCATGAATGGATCAACTTGGAGGGAACAGCGTTTTAAGTAAGAGGACAAATCCTCTCAGACATCCAAATATGGGGCGAGAGATGAAAATAACTCTAATGAAACTGTAAACGAATAATGAGAGATACATACACTACTAAACAAAGAAATATCTTGTACTCCACTACTACACAAAAAAATATTTTGTAAAGTGATCTCCAGTCACTCCCATCAACACAAACCCTGGAAGATTACAACAATTTGGTTTGTTGCCCACAGCTCAGTGATCTGGAGCAATCAAGCAGTTCTCCACAAAACAACCCTCTGCATCTGAATCACGCCATCTGAACTAATTCAAAATAGCATGAAAAAGACTACAAGAGTGATGCTATGGAGGAAGTGCTTGGGTTGGCCGGTTAACCGCCCGTCACTCATCATCGCTGCAATAGCAATATAACCGATGTTGCAATCTCCAGGTGATTTAGAAGACTGAATTGGTTGAATGAATTGGTGGTGGAGCACCCCCTGTCCCAAATCGGGACAGGTTTACTACAAAGAAACAAGGTTCGTTACGAGGTCCTCGTGAAAGAGGTCCTAAGAAACGCTGGTCTGTTTGCCAGCAGCCAACCTCTGATTCGTACAGACGAATTTGTGTCGAACTTTGCAACCAATACGGGAAAATGCGCAAGCACCGATTAGACTGTACATCGTCCAGACAGAACAATTAAACCAAAGAGAGCTAAACCGACGGCAGTCAGAGCAATGATGGACCAAGCGAGGCTGAAAAAGGCAAGTCAAAGCGAAGAACCTTATAAAACGCACCTACCCCCACATTCGCGCCGTGCCACAAATTTCGTTGGCAAACATAACAGCATCAGATTGTCCCTAAATATAGGAAATGTCCGCATAACTCCATTGAATGTCCGACACTCTAGGCCTTCACAGACCAGTGAAGACTCAATAGATGAACTCCATTGTTTGAAACAGAATGGACTCAATAGATGAACTCCATTGTTTGAAACAGAATGGACTCAATAGATGAACTCCATTGTTTGAAACAGAATGGACTCAATACATGAACTCCATTGTTTGAAACAGAATGGACTCAATAGATGAACTCCATTGTTTGAAACAGAATGAACTCAATAGATGAACTCCATTGTTTGAAACAGAATGGACTCAATAGATGAACTCCATTGTTTGAAACAGAATGGACTCAATAGATGAACTCCATTGTTTGAAACAGAATGGACTCAATAGATGAACTCCATTGTTTGAAACAGAATGGACTCAATAGATGAACTCCATTGTTTGAAACAGAATGGACTCAATAGATGAACTCCATTGTTTGAAACAGAATGGACTCAATAGATGAACTCCATTGGAATTCTAACATTGATAATTATCGATAACTCACTTGAGCCTCATTATCGATCTTTTTGAAGAGAACATCATGGAGGCAATCATATACAGCGTGCAATGTGCAAACAGTTCCCATCACAAGCATACACCATCGCAATGGATGAACCTTCATTTCTACCTTTTCTTCCAACACCCAAAGGCCCTAAAGGACAAAATCAACTTGTGTTCAACAAATTGAGCACATGGCTGTAATACTCCTTCTTTAGGAAGTTCAAAACTTCTTGAGTTCATCATTTCTTAAGTTCTTCTTACCGCTGGAACTGCAGCAACAAAGATAATCGCACATCGAAGAATCATTCCAAAGGCCAAACGAGACCCACACACTCGCTTATCCTGAGAAAGAGAGAAAGAATTCATTAGAGAGAAAGTTTCAAAAAGGAGCATACAAAGAATTTAAAGGGTTCTTAGTTCAATTGAGTCAAGCAGTCGCTCACCTTAATACGAAGAATCAGAGTTGTCGCGACAGCAGAAACCATAAAAACGACTGCAGCGATTCGCGTTGGAATTTTCTCCCACGTCACTGAAATAAAGGCAGTTGGAATATAAAATGTATTTTTAAATAGCGTTTTCAATGAGACTCACTTAAAATGAAAAAAGAACCCCAAAAAACGCTCCCAGTGTATCCAGCGGACAAAGTGATCCACCGGATTCCACCCCGGGAATAAGTGACTCCTCCGAAATTTTCATTTACCTGAAAAAAGGAAATTGGATCTTCAAACTCCTAAATAAATCCCTCTCACCTCAATACCTGTTACTTTGCCACAAGTTAACCACGTGGCTGATGCGTGTCCAAATTCATGCAAGAAAACGGCAATTAATTTAAGCGGAGAAAAAACGACGCTATGCCATAAGAGGCCGGTGAGGAGTGCAGTGACTCCAATCACAATAAACGCTTCTGCAAAACAAACACTATTAAAATAATCTGACTTCCAGAGAAATTCTCTCACTCACCGATTTGAGAAGCGTTGCAGCAGCATGTCCCATCGCTAATTGTGCGATAAGGTTCTGCGGTCTTGTCAACCAGCCATCTCAAAAAGGCGGCATCACTTCCACTCATTCGAGGAAAATTCAGTTTTCCTCAATTTCTGTTAGGAACGGCACCTGTTGGACGCCGTCAAAAAACAGTGAACCGAAAAATATTCGCGCTTAGCAAGAGAGAACACACTAGTCCATGTAATTCATCACTATCTCTCAAAATTGAACCCTTCTAAATGGAGAATTGGTGCATCAAACGTTGGAGATAAGGTTGGGCAGCTGGATTTGTTGACCGACATTTTTCATTAGAGGCTTTGATTCCTCGTTCAAACCCTCGTGAGTCTTCTTTAACATCCATGATGGAACGCGATGATGGAAGCTCGAAATTGCGCCTTGTCCGTTTTTCGGCACTAGACGCGACGGAAGTTTGTCTTTCGGCTTTCTCACCATACGCTGTTGTTACGAGCTCCACGGACAGAGATGGTCGTAGGAGAGAGCTGCCCTTGTTGTTTGCGATGTCGCCGTCAGTTCCGACATAGGACGTCTTTGCTGGAACGTCAAGCGGAACAAGCATGCGACGGCTTATCGGCGCTTCACGAGCAGCAGATGAGAACATCTCACACGAAGGAGACCTTGGTGTGTCCGTGTCTACAACTGAACCGGTCGCGCTATACCTGAAGAAAAGTCATTTTCTAGTCGCAGACTGACGTACAAGTCGTTCATCAAACTCGACTATGAGGCTCGCACCATTCAGAGTCAACGATACTTGGAGCGAAAGTTGTTGTGCACCCGCTCGTAGTCGCTGACCAATCGCTACGCTTCGCTCGGGATGTCCGCATTGGGACATTTTCGTACATTGGGACATCCTTACATGCTGAAACACTTCTGCAGTCCGATTGCGGGGGGAAAACAGTGCAGGGAAGCAGAGTGTCGAACGGACCGGTCCGGGATCGCGACGAGAGCCGCTCTCTGATTGTATTCCTGATCGTCGGATCTGCTTGAACGCGCGCAGTTCCAAGCGGAAAGTCACGCTTGAAATCTTGCGTTGAGGCTGTAATGGGGCGGTCCTGAAAGAGCAGATACAATTCGATAGATGACGACGTGCTTGGAAGAGAGAAGCGCAGGGAAAGACCTGTGCGAGGGCTGAGTGTTATATTAATACATACATGTATTAGAGTGATATCATTATTGATATACATTAGAGTGATATCATTACTGATATATGTTAAGAGTCTAATGATATAGATATCTTACTGATATATGTTAGAGTCTAATTAGAGTGATGTCATGATTCATATGTATTAGAGTGATATCATTATTGATATACATTAGAGTGATATCATTGCTGATATATGTTAGAGTCTAATGATATGTATTAGAGTGATATCATTTTTGATATACATTAGAGTGATATTATTACTGATATATGTTAGAGTCTAATGATATATATTAAAGTGATGTCATTACTCATATGTCTTAGAGTGATATCATCATTGATTAACCTATATCAGTTGAGTGATATCATTATTGATATACATTAGAGTCTAATGATATATATTAGAGTGATATCATATACATTAGAGTGATATCATTACTGATATATGTTAGAGTCTAATGATGTATATTGGAGTGATATCATCATTGATATATATTAGAGTGATATCATTATTGATATACATTAGAATCATGCGCGACCACGCTTGCTCACTTCCAGAAAGGCAAGAACATCTGAAGAAACGTCTGAGAACCTTTCTGATAATAATTGATGTGTTGATTTTTTATAAATCGTTAAAACGTAATCAATATCATGACGAGAAAGTCGTGCACTGTCCGAATTTGTTCTTTCCAACTCGATGTGATGTTGACGAGTTGTCGAAGCGGGATTGAAAGTTGGTCGAAGACTTTTGGTTGGTCGAACAATGTAATCATTGCGGGGGCACCGACTGTGTTTATGACTCGAAAAGTTATAACAAGAGGCTGATGATTGAGTTCCGTTTGGTCTTCTCTCGCTACGTTGGCCGGATATTGTCGCTTGAGTGAGGTGAGCGACAATTGCGCTAATTTGTCCGTGAGCGTCCTTAGTTGGAGTCACTTTGTCATCTTCTCTTCAACAACGCAGAAGGACATAATGAGAAAAGTTTGGGACACTCGATCGTTCACGAACGTCAACAAAATATCTCAGGAAGAGAGAAAGGTAACGTTGAGTCCCAAAATCCCAAAACTGACCCCCAAGCAATAAATATCGGAAATGATGCTTCTAGTGCCTTCTGATAGTTCTCTTGCGCTGTCCTGCAAAGATCCATCAGAAGTCCTTCGCATCAGGAATAGCCTCGAAGCATTCATCAGAAAATTTTATATAAATTCCTTCACGATTCGCAGCTATTGCAATTACCATAACGGCACTCCTTGTGCAATCTTGAGAGTTGTGTCCATATTTCTGTTATACTAAGGATCCCTCAATAATCATTGAGGATCCCACACCTACAGCACATCGCCAATCGTGGTTCTCATGGGTGCAATAGCGAAGCTCATATTCGCCGATTGTTAAGGAGTTTGGATTGTGCTCTCCTGCTTTAATCCGCGACTGTAAGGCAGATACTGGTAATAGTTGATCATGTAATAGTTGATCATGTAATCGTTGATCATCATTCACGCTATATCTCGATTCATCTCCAGGCACCAGAATGCACCAGCTGATTGTCTCACATGAAGTCCAGGACGAGAACAGCAAGACGCTAAAATGCACCGGCAAACGCTCTTGAACACAGGAATCGTAATTTTTCCAAGAGCGCCATTTAAGAAGTAACTAAACAAACATTAATGAAGAAATAAATAATCATGAATTAAGGATCTGTAATTAATGGTGATGACGTACCTAACACGTCGAGGTGTCGATTTGGCCAACCCAGCTGAGATCAAGCAATAATTGGTAGAAGACGAATCAGCTCAATGTCTTGTTGAAATTATTACCTGGACTGAGTAAAATAACTTTATGGATGTACTGAGGATAAGAATTCGCGTAGTATACTGTAACAAAAAGACAGGAATAAACAATCATCCAAAGAGAGGGAAAAATAATAACATCATCCAAAGAGAGGGAAAAATAATAACATCATCCAAAGAGAGGGAAAAATAATAACATCATCCAAAGAGAGGGAAAAATAATAACATCATCCAAAGAGAGGGAAAAATAATAACAATCGTCCAAAAAGAGGGAAAAATAATCATCACTCACCTGACAGTAAGCCACCCATGGAAAATCCCAATAGGCTGTGCTGCACTTCTTCTAATTTCAAAAACGTTAACAATTCACGAACTTGCTCGACAAACAAAAGTGGTCCATATTTATTCAAATGTTTCGGACTGTCCGACAAGCCATGACCCCATAAATCTGGAATAAGAGGAAACCTTCTATTCAACCCTGGTTGTTGCCGTATGATGCTTTCGCGTCTCCTTTCTCTCCACGCATCACTTTCCTTCCCATTTCCCCACTTGCTTTCCCACATTACTTTCCCACTTCCATCCTACTTTCCCACATTACTTTCCCACATTACTTTCCCACATTACTTTCCCACATTACTTCCATCCTACTTTCAATTACTTTCCCAGATTACTTTCCCACATTACTTTCCCACATTACTTTCCCACATTACTTTCCCCACATTACTTTCCCACATTACTTCCTCACCAAACGAGAGTACACGGAAACCGTATCTGATGAGAACATGACCGATGGGTTCGAATTGAGCGAGTGAGGAGTTGAGGCCATGCAAACAAACAACAAGGTGTCCATTCTCCGGACCACGGAGTCGATCTGAAAAACCACATCAGGGGATTGTAAAAATCAAGAAGGAGAGGACGGTGCGTACATTGAATCGTTCCGTGCGTTCCGGTCGCTGTCGATGCAACGAGATACGGACTATCTCCCGCAAGGCCCTGAGTGATATTTCCCATTTTCTCTTAAAATCTCATGATTTTGAAAGACTAAACCAAACAAAATACAGGGACGCATTCAGATTGAGATCATTGCTTCCAGGTCCGCTGAAGATGCCAAAAAAATCAGTCGTCGCTCTATCGGTCTCGGCCGTTCTGATTGCATGGATATCCCACGAACTCGTCCTCTACAGGGTAAGTCGCTCAGCGAGGAAAAGTCTCAATTCTTCCCTTCATAATTCTTTTCTTTAAAATTCCTTCCACGAGAATTCTTTTTTCAGGATGTCGAGTTTCTTTCATTGTCCTCTGTAATTGTGGGATCCTTCGTTTCCCTTTTATTGCATCCATATTCTTATCTTTTCTGTTACGAGGGCGATGGAATGTGGGAAGGTGTGACGAGCGTACGAGGAGATTCTCACCCCCCTCTTCTTACCGCCCTCTATCAGGTTTTGGGACTCAATTCCGAAGTTACCATTCATCGCGATAATTTAGGGACACCTTACGTCACAGCCTCATCGAGTCAGTTCAGCATTAGCATAGTCCTCTCGCTAAACATGATTGATAGTGGTCATTGTCCCACGTCATTGTCCCACGTCATTGTCCCACGTCATTGTCCCACGTCATTGTCCCACGTCATTGTCCACGTCATTGTCCCACGTCATTGCCCCACGTCATTGCCCCTACGTTGATGTCCTTCAGCTGAGGATCTCCTTTTCGTCCAAGGATGGATCCATGCACGTGAGCGTCCGTGGCAGATGGAATCCATCCGTCTCGCAACACACGGACGTCTTTCGGAAGTTGTCGGATTCCCCGGTCTCAATGCGGATTGTTTTTTTCGGTGAGTCAAAACATTCTCTGGAATTCTAAAATTGTCTGAAAGCCTCCCCTGCTTCTCATGGCGTCTTTTTTGTTGCTGTTTTGGGCCTTTTTTGTTTATTCATGACTTATTTGGGACATTCTTATTGCAGTGGGTTGGGAATTCGCCGGAGTGCGGACGAAGGACTTTCCAAAATTCCTCTTGAAAACAAGGATCGTCGCTTGATGTCGATTTATGCTGAAGGTAAAGATATAATTCAATGAATAGAGTATAATGGATAAACTCAATCATCTTCATTATAACTTGAACCGGTGACCAGTTGGGATGGGAAA